ACCCCTTAACCTTTAGACCCCCCCCCCTTTTTTTCTCCCCCCCCCCCCCCCCCCCCAAAACCCCCCAAAAAAAAAAAATTTCCCGGAAAAAAAAAAAGAACCCCCCCCCCCCCCCCCCCCCCCCCGCACCGCGCACTGAGCAACCTAGCGGAACCCCCACCTCGGCGTCTTCATCGTCGTCGTCGAGGTCTTCGTCCTCCGCCCTGCTGATGGGGGCCTGCTTCATAACGAATGCCTCCGGGGGCTTGTAGTAGATCGACGACAGCGTGGAAATCTGGGGCGAGGTTTTGTGCGCGTGTCAAGGGCAGTGGGCAAAAGGACATGAGATCTTCTCGATAGGAGGATATGGACATCAACAAGGAGTCACGGGGTCAAGCAAGATGGGTAAAATGGGGAGCTGGATAGAGCGGGCGATGGTGGCCATGAAAGGAATTCACAAATTTTCGGGTAGAGCAGCGGAACAAGCAAACCAAAAACAGCAGCGGCATTAGCAGCACCACAAGAGCAACACCAACAACGACAACTAACAACCACAACCACCCGCCAAAGATGACCACAACAACGGGTTATCCGTTCGCCCACCTGGCCGATAAGCATGTCGAGGACGGCGGGCTCGAGCGTGAAGGTGTCGTCGGCGATGTTGGGCTTCTCCGAGAGCACGACGGCCTTGGCGGCCTCGGGGTTGGTCGACAGCAGCCGCCAGTAGACGAAGCCGCGGTCTCTCAGGTCAGGGTCATCGCTCTCCTCCGTCGCCAGCTGAAGGACTCTCTGGACCATGTCCTATTTGTGCCACAAACAGGCGAAAAGGCGTTGTGGGAGGAAGGGCGTGTAGAGTAAGGATACATAAGGACAAGCGTTTTGGCATAGGAAGAAGGATCTGCCCGAGGGTGTGCGCTAGAACATGGCTTGCTTCACCACGTACCCTCTTTGTGGAACCAGCGATACAGGAGCAACAAGCAAGATGCCGACAAAAAGAGTACTCGCAACTGACAGGATGGTGAAAACCGCCGATGCTACGGATGTCAAAAGCCAGAACATAACACGCATGCACGCACGCACGAACGTCTTCTGGCTGTTTGAAGGACCAGTTGACCATTGTCACTATAATTTTCACCTTCCAAGCTCGTCCCACCCATGCTAACCCACGCAAACCCAATCAACCCCGACACAGAAAGGTCGGTCCCTCTCGTTAGACCGCACGCCTACTCGCACACAATTGTTGGTACGTACGGTATGCCTACCATCTTGTTGTGGTTTTCCCGACACGACTGATGGCTTTCAACAACTCACAGCCCATTCGCGGCAAACGATGCCAAAATCACAAAACAGTCAAACTGCGTTCACATGTATACACATGCCTGACGTTTTCATTTATTTTCATTCGTCAGCTGGTGGGCATCAATCACACAACACACACGCGCGCGCATTTTCATCGGGAGGCCGTATGCTAATAGTAGAGACACAAATGCACAAACGTTTCATTGGTCAGCCGGCCAGAAGACAGCCGACGCCAAACAACCACATCGCACTCCCGGAGTCTGCTGCACACATAGAACTTCACACCTGTGTATCCTCTGGCTGTTTGAGGAAGAGCTTGACGGTGGCCGTGAGGAGCTGCAGCTGCACCTCGGCCGACTCCTCCTCGAACGTCTCCAGGAAGTGCTCCAGCTGCTCGTCGGCGTTGTCGATGCGCTCCGCGTACTCCCCGATGATCCAGATGATGCTAGCCTGTCACGTGTGTGTGTGTGTTTGCGGGTGTGTTGAGATGGCGTGTGCCAAGATGTGAATCTTACAGGCTGCTCACCATAGTTGGGGGCATTTTCGGCAGGCGACAAACCAAGGGCAAAAAACGCAAATCGTTTGGGGGGCGGGGCACGCAAAAGCGTTCGCATCGTAAGCAGGTAGGGACCAGCACAAAAAGAGGGTATACTTGAAGCAAGTCCGCTCGCGTCGGTGGCGACAACAATTGTTGATCAACGCATCCACAAACAGCCCAGACAAACTTTGGAGGGCCTAACGTTGCGTTTGCTTCAGACGAACCACCGCCTTCTAGAAAACAACGCCTTGGGGGTAAATGAAACCGGGGGGGGGGGGGGGGTGTACTCATAGTCGTGCATGCCGTAGTCGTTTGACCATTGACCTCGCATCCCTACAAAG